TAAGGCATTTTCGTTAATTTTTTTAAGCAATAAAACACTCAGGGAGGGCAAATATGTTATAACCCATTTATTAGTTATCCTTCGAACTACAAGTTGTATTTTGTTGAACTCGATTGGTGTCTCCTCGTGGCCGGTGCACCAGGTCGCGCGGGCGTCCTCGCGTGGAAGTCGGAAAACGACGTGGGAAAATACTCCTTTCTATGTGATCCTGGAAAATAAATCGAACAAAAATCCTGATAAGTAATGAAATTTGGGTTAGAAATACGTATTCCGTTTTTTCAAATTAATTTTTTTCAAAAGTTGTGACCTTAGGAAAAAAAAGTCCATTTTTTCACCCTACAAATGCTTACAAAATCGTGGATTAAAAATCCATTTTTGACAAAATCGAAAATGTGGATACGCATTTCTAAGCAGAATTTAATTCTGAACAAGAAAACCTAGGCGATATCCAAATTTTATGATAACTGATTGGAGTTATTTCCCACGCCAGTTTGAAAAACCCCGTTTCGAGATAAACGCGTTTAAAGATAAAATTGCTCTCTCACCGCGCCGGTACATGTTTTACGAAATCGCTTCGTAAAGCGGTAAGGAATATTCTGGCGGACTTGGAGTCTTTTCTAAATTTAAATATACATCCCAAGGAACATTTTAAGCCAAAAAAATGCATTTTTTTGAAAAATCAAAGTGTACTTCCCCCTTAAGTCACGTCCCAAGCAGTTTTGGAAGTTTGGCAACGAACAACGTCATGAAGCTGGTCTGCCGTCGTCTATGACACATAATGATAACGTGGCCTCAGCTACGCAAGATATCTGTCAGCTGTTTCCGAAAAAATTGCAAGTGTCTTCACGGACGAGAGACTGAGTGACGACCATGCCCGACTGGCTGCCAGTTACGTACCACTCTCTAACCAAACCATGAGCAGAATTGACATCAATCCCGAGATGTTTTTCAGGGCTTCCTCGATACTCAAGTCGTCGCACAATCCGGGTCCTGACGGAATTCCATCGGCATTCCTCAAATCGCACTTGGACAGTTTGTTGTCTCCACTGCTGCACGTTTTTCAACGGTCTGTGGACGTCGGAGTTTTCCCATCCTGTTGGAAGCTAGCGCACATGTTTCCAGTACATAAAAAAGGCAACAAACAGGACGTTGGCAACTACCGTGGCATTACTTCGCTTAGCGCTGTTGCTATATTGTTCGAACTCGTTGTTATGAAACCGTTACTCGCTCACTGTAAGCCGTATATTAGTATCGACCAGCATGGTTTCATGGCTGGTCGCTCCACTGCCACTAACTTGCTGTGCCTTACTTCCTACATCTGTAACAGTATGTCGGATCGTGCTCAGACGGATGTCATTTATACTGACTTATCTGCTGCCTTCGATAAATTGAATCACCGCATATCAATAGCTAAACTGGACAGGCTTGGTATCCACAGCTGCATTTTGCAATGGTTTCAGCCGTACCTCACCGATCGCTATCTTACTGTTGTCATTGGTGATCACCAGTCCCGTACGTTCGCTGCTACATCCGGCATACCCCAGGGTAGCCACCTGGGACCGCTGATTTTCCTCATTTATTTCAACGACGTGAATCTGGTAATTGAGGGACCACGATTATCTTGCGCAGATGACCTTAAACTCTACCTCCGAATTCACTCAATTGAAGACTGTTGCTTCCTTCAACGTCAGCTGAATGCTTTTGCTGATTGGTGTTACGCTAATTGTTTCACTTTCATTTCCATTGCTTGCATAACATCTATATTTTGTTATTGATGTCTAGCTAACCTCGTGGATTCACAATATTTATAATAATAGCAAGACATCATTCTATTCCATAAGGCTTTTTGGCATAGTCTGTTCTTTGTTTGTTAATTCTAAACAAATTTCTATTCCGCAATGAGCAAGTGGGAGCATAACAATTGATATTTTCCAAAATCTCTGGGCTGTTATCTCTTTGTGAAATTACATCGTTTATAAAAGCAATCATTGCGAACTCTCTTCACTTTTTGAGCTCATCTAATTTAATTAACATACAGCGCGAATCATAAGATGGAAGCGGAAATCCGTCGTTTTGCAGTTTTCGCCAAATATCGTTAGAAAAGGACGTTCCAGTGTTCTCAACGCTCTTGATAAAAATAATAAAGCACGCTTTTTCTGGCACTTACCTTCGAATCAGTGATGGCATAATCATTAGCAAATTGATATTTTCTGCTCTCATACGCTCTCAATATCACGCGTGATATTGAAGCAAAATATCATGCTTGATATTGATTTTACAAACTCCTTTGATATTGCGAGGCTATTCACAACGTGAAAAGTTGAAACTGACGCAAAAATGATTCCGTGGCATCTCGTTTTCTTAGAAAGAGAAGGTATAATCACAGACAAACAGACATAACACTCGCAAGTTGTTCATCGAACAAGCATTTAACGGTCAATTTGAAAGTATCGTAGTTGGTAGTACCGCAACCTGTGGCGCGCATAGTCAATTCCCTTGCGTTTGACATTTACACACTACCGCCATCTGTTCAGCTTACTACCTACCACAGTGTACTCAAAAGATGACGGTAATGTTTTAGTGACGATGTTTAACAATGAGAAATATTCAATATGTTATGTCTGTTTGTCTGTGGTATAATTATGCTTTCTCGTTTTTCTTTTCACCGATGGCAAACACGCAGCGACTGCTGCCAGCCGTTATGGAAGTTTCATTTGCGTTCTGGTGCAAAGCAAAAATCATGAAACTCAATCTCACTACATTTTGGAGAGATTTGCAGCTGGTGAGTTTTTTTTAACTTGATATTCCGATGATGCTTTTTGACTGTTGTCTGCGAAAATCAAGCGTGATCTTGTTCTTTGGTGAGATTTTAATTTTTGACATTTTCACAACTCTGCTTCGGATAAATCCAGGAAACGGATTATCTGGCTTTTTAAATAGTTCCATATGTGCTTGGTCAGGAGTACAATAAAAATAATTGAAAACTATTTGATCATTTTATTTTTAGCAAGACGTACCCATTATGTTGATAAGCTTGTTTTGTATGTATATCTGGGGAAAAAAAGGTTCGTGTAAAAGTTTGTAAAAAACAAAGCTTGTCTTTCGGCGCTCCTGGCCCCTGGGCTACTTTTGCCAAACCCTCACTGCGCCCCTGGTCCCAACATGAACTTTACGTTTAGTGATTTTTTAGCACTTTGTCAGTTGTTAATTACCGAGGACCATCCAGTGGGACGAATTCAAAAAAAGTGGAACATGGCTATTTGTGACGCAACTATTGAGTGTAGCTTTTTGATGCCTTGTCGAATGTTTCTTTATTTTTTAAGTACTTTATTTAAGTAGTGAAAATTTTTGGTTAAGGAGGGTATACACTCAGATAAAAAATAACTTTTTTATGTCTTGTTAAATTTGATGAACACCTATAGAAACTTTGAAGATGAAGTCTTTAAAGAAACTTTGTAAAAGGTTTAAACTTTCTATCTTTAAAGTGGACGAAGTTATAGGGTGAAAATGAACTACAAACGGAAAAACTTCCTTAAAAAATGTTTTGTCACCATAACTTTTTTCTTTGAATTTTCCCGTTTTTTAAATATTCTACAAGTTGTAAGTACTTAGAAAATGCACATTTTTGCAGAAGACAGTAAATCGCTATCTCTTTGCTGAAAGGATCTACGCCAGTTTTTACAATTTTTTTACACTATCTTTAAGGTGTATGTTGGCGCGAGAATTAGGAGCGCTACCCTATTCGTTACAACCGCAACCTATTGAATTATTTGCCTCGCACGGACAGGGTCAATCAACTAACACATTACTCAACAATAAAATGTGTGTATCTCTCCCTTACCGTATTGTAAAGGGAATCTTCTGGGCCTTCTGCCTTTTGTAGTAATGGGTTATATAAACCCCACACTGAAGAGAAAATATATAGCAAGTATTGAATTGTTAGAAGTAGCACGTCGTTTTTTTATCCCGTTTTCCTAAAGTTTCCCGGTAGTTTGTCCGCCTCTTCTTGTGATTTTCCGCGCAGTTTTTTTTTTTTTTGGACCTCACGCTAACAGTGTACTTTTCAGGTTAGCAGGTATTAGCAGCTAATGACAACTTCATTTCATTCAGCAACTTATACCCTACTGTTTCAGATATAATTCATAGGGGGATTCAAGGGGATGCTTAATAAATTTTCAAAAAATGTATCTCAATGTTTTGTATCGTTTTGCTGTTTTCATGAAGTTTTTTTCCAAGTATGTACATACATGAAGACAAAAAACGTGTTGCTTACTGTTAATTATGACAAAAGAAATCATTATGGTGAACATTTGCACTAGCTATCAATATTAAATGGCAATACATCAGGTGGTAACACATTTATTTAAACTTATTTGCGTTTAATCCCGTGATTGATGTTGACACTAACGAATCCTGGAAAAATCATCCATTCAATTTTTGTATTATTTTATTTTTCCGTACATGCCGTCATTCAGTCAATTTATCCGGCTGTGCTTAGCTCCTATTAAGCACAACCCGCACTTTACCTCTCTTTTCTGAACGGGTTTGAACAAAAAATGGAATATTTCCATCAAAGATGACTTCTAAATTTGTTCACCTTTCCATTCGTGTACCGTTGGATTTGATAAAGAGTCACAAATTGTTGAGATATTGTTCAAAATCTAACACTGCTTCTTGATTCTAAATTCGTCTTACGAGCTTCAATTCCGTCCTAACGCATTGAAATGCTATTAGATTTTCTTCATCCTACGGATAAACGTAGAAAAAGGGGATTCGCTAGGAGCGCTTCTTTTGTTTTGAGAACAATGAGCGCAAATATTCATACAATGCGCTCTAATAGGATTTATGTTGTAGCTAATGAACTAACGCATCGGAACAAACCTATTTTTGATTTGTGCTCGGTGAAATCATTGATATTATTGATCTTTTCTGGTCGATAGAACGGAAATGGGTGATTACGACGAAGTAGTGCTATACCCTATGTTTTTTTTTATTTACAGGATTATGGAACACTCTCTTGCTGGGCTTCCAACGAAATCGGAGTTCAAACTGAACCATGCTTATTTCAGGTGATTCTGGCTGGTGAGTATTTGATGTTCACTATTTAGCCTGTAGGTATCTACTATACTTAAGTATGTATTAATTTATCTGCCATTCCGTCTATCTTCATGAATCCCCGCACTGCAAATATTGCACGATCGAACAAATAATCACGCTGCCTTTGAGCAGATCTTCCAATGCCGGTTAGCAACTGCACGCTGTACAACCAAACGCAACAGTTTGCCGAGATTCAGTGTGCACCTGGCTATGACGGCGGTCTACCGCAGATGTTTATGCTGGAATTGGTCTCCAAGAGAACGGGAACGAGAAGGTCAGTATTGAACAGCGCTCGTGAATGTTTGTCTATATTAATTTCAACATGACATATAGTCCTCAAGCACTTACAAATCAAACCCCTAATCCTTCCGCTAGGTTTAACTTTTCCAACAAACACGAACCATACTTCATGCTGGATCGGTTGGAGAAACTATCTGCCCTGATGGCAGCGGAAAACAATTCACTGTCATGTGTAGTGTACGCCATCAATCAGAAAGGGGCCAGCCAGGGAATCGTCATCCCCAATTTCGAAATAGGCCACGTCCATCGCTTTCAATCAGGTTCGTATATGTATCTAACCTCTATTTGCCAACCAGTAGAGTGGAGGGCCTCATCGACTTTTGTTATGCGGAGAAAATTACCACTCGATGCGTCAATCTAATACTCGTCTCTCTTCAATTGACTATCCAATCCGTTCAACCCCGTAACTAACTGACTGGAATACTCTGTCTGACTGATAATTGCAGCGAGCAAACACTCGACCGAATGGCTCCCGATAGCACTTGGAGTTCTGCTTACCATCATAATATTGGCCCTCTCAATTTCCACCAAAGCGTACTTCGGTCAGTGCTGGTTCATCTGTCGGCGCGGTGAAGCAAGCCAACGGGACGATTTGAAAGTTGCACAACAAACAAAAAATATTGTGATATCCAACAATTTCGAGTGCGGAACTAATTGCTTGAAGGTAAGGACCACTTTCTCGAATCATTCCCATCCATGTTCAAATAGAAATGCGTCGACATTCTCGGAATGTGATGAACTAGGAGCCAATGTAAATAACTAACCTGGTGTCTTTCAATCCGGTGCTATCCCTTTTATCCTCGGTCGGATTCGATGACGATTGCGTTGCTGAAAAAAGCGGAAAAATACACAACCGCACAACCAGCAACACCAGCAGCCACAGCAGCAGCAGCAGCATCGTAGCAGTTTGCGGAAGAAAAACGCCTCAAAGGAATCCAACGACGATGAACCGGACCCGGATGTTATTCCAGCCCAGTTTAATATGAGTGAGTGTACACGGAATTCTTTTTTTTCGCAGGCTACACTATCGCTTATGGCAAGTTCGTCCCATAGCACAAATCAGCAACTGGAGAAAACGCATTGTAGGTTTGCTTCGTACTACAGCGAGATCTCGACACTAAAGTCTAGTCCAGCTCAATATTTTTCATGTGTGTAAGGATTTGGAGTGTCGACGGACGAATATTCAGGAAATCGACTTAAAGACTCATAATAAACTCTGTAGAACACAAAACATTTAACTGAACATATTGAACATACCACCGCGGTAAAAAAAATAGGTTTGATTTTATAAAAATATTGGGGAAATATTTACGATAAATGGTGGATTTTTCACCCACTGACTTTTTATTAATCAGAATATAAACGATAATTCCGTCGTATTTTATCACCAAAACACTTCGATCAATACAATCAAGTGATTCCTTACCCCTTCAGCTTCAAACTGAATATATTTTTACGACTGAGCAAACAGCAAACTGGCAGGATGTCATGTAAATTTAAATATTCGAGATGCCGATAATAGAACAGCTATAGCTAATACCCCGTACAGACTATGGCTTATATCATGTAATATAGGCTGTCTTGCAATGAGCATTCATACATAGGATTTCCAGTGAAAACTAGATGTATAAGTGCTCATTGCATGATATAATACCCTGGACAGACTATGGCTTATATCATGTAACATAGGCTGTCTTGCAGTTTTTACTGGAAATCCTATGTATGAGTGCTCATTGCAAGACAGCCTATATTACGTGATATAAGCCATAGTCTGTACGGAGCATAATACCCCGTTCACATTACAGCGTATATCACGTGATATACGCTGTCTTGCAATGAGCACTCATACATCTAGTTTTCACAGGAAATCCTATGTATGAGTGCTCATTGCAAGACAGCCTATATTACGTGATATAGGCTGTAATGTGAACGGGGTATAACACGCAGTTCAAATCGAAAAGTTTCCGAAGAAAACAAAGTTGCCGACAATAGTCACTCACTAAGAAGTTTGGAACGTTCCAAAAACGTTTTCAATTGTGGTGTGGACAATAATTATTCAGTTGATTGGAGTGGATATACAAACAAACACGTCATTAACACTGGCGTGCACAGGGTGGGGCAAGGTGGGGCAATTGCCCCTCCTTTTATCAATATGATGTTTATTTCCACATTTCCAAATTATTATATGAAATAACTTGATTTCTTGATAACTTGATTTGAAGGTAAATAACTTCATTTCAAGACCAACAATTGAAAAGGCCACAAATCCATTTTGTAAAAAAAACCTTGTAAGGCCATTTTCTCGCGAACCAAAATCTACATTCGCAAACCTAAGACACAATCGGGTAGATGAGAATTTCCCCTACCTGTTCATTTTGTTGGTTTGCGTTGGCAGACTTCGGTTTGCGACAAAATGGCCTTACAAGGTTTGTTTACAAAATGGAGTTGAGGTCTTTTCAATTGTTGGTCTTGATTTCATACTATAAGGGCACTGAAAACCTTTTATTGCGTCAATTCCTTTGAGATGGTGAAAAAATGATTGATGATTGGAGGGAAGCTGCTTAACTGAAAATTTTTGCTGAAAAATCTAAAAATAAGGGCAAGCTTTATTTGGTGGAAAACCTGCAACATTCTGATGATAGGAGAAGCATGCTATATTGAAAATGTCTGGTGGAAAATGGATAAAGGATATCTGCACCAATCAGAATATTGGAGAACAATTTTTATTGAACATTAACGGTGGAAAATTTGCATCGTTCTGGTCAATTGAAATTTTCTGGTGTAAAATGTTCTGGGGCAAGTTGTATTGAAAATTTCTGGTGCAAAAATCTGCTGCATGGAGGCGCTAGCTGAATTGAAAATTCCTGATGTAAAAATTGCACAGTTCTGGTGAATGGAGGGGCAAGCTTTATTGAACATTTCTGGTAGAAAAAGTACAAGGTTTTGGTGAATGGACGGACAACTTAAACTTGACTTCCGAGAAGAACCTCAAGGGTATTGAATTCTGAAGACAAGTTCCAAAAGAAATGATTTCTGGAGATGATTCCATGAAAATTCTGCGAATAGTTTCTAGTGAATAGTTCCAAGATAATTTTGGAGAAAATACCGAGAGAATTCAATTTTGAATGAAATTCCAAAGGGATGTTCTAAAATATTCCGAGAAGAACCTCAATGATATTGAATTTCTAGGACAGTTCCGAAATATATCTGGAGAGAATTCAAAGAAAATTCTGCGGATAATTTCTGAACACCCTGTAGATAGTTCGAAGATAATTTCGAAAAGAATACCGAGAAAATCAAATTTTGAATGAAATTCCAAAGGGATTTTAAGCAAAATTTCAAGCGAATTCCGAGGAAAATTTCTAGCGCATTCAGTTCCAAGGTGTTCTGAGAATTATAAATATAATTCCAGTGGACTTCTGAGAAGAATTTCAAAAGAGCTCTTAGGAGAGTTCTAAAAAAATCCGAGAAGATCCTCAAGGATATTGAATTCTGAGGACAGTCCCAAAGAATTTCTGGGGAGTATTCCAAAAAAATTCTGCGAATAATTTCTAGTGAATCCTGTTATAGTTCCAAGATAATTCCGAAAAGAATACCGAGAAAATTAAATTTTGAGTGAAATTCCAAAGGGGTTTTGAGGAAAATTTCAAGGGAGTACCGATAATTTCCAGCTCATTCCGGGAATAATTTCTGGATAATCCTGGGTACATTCTTCTGAAACTCTAAGGGAGTTTCAGTGCCAAGCACTCAATATCACTGACCAAGATTGGATTGATCAAGAGCAATATACTGTTTGTTCACTGCTATGCGCACTGTTTGAACCTTGTACTTGTCGACGCAGTGTGCATACGAAAGGAGAATGCGATTCTTATTGGTCATTCATCTCGGTTTGTCGATGCTATCACCACCATCTGACGTGACTTCAGCTGAATTCAACCACCAAGGTAACAACATCGCAGCAAATGTATAATTTCGGATATAGCCTACTATCGTAACCATTTGACGAACCGATCATCATCGACATCGTCGATGGGATTAAATTGCCAATTTCCATTGGCTGTCACTTTTAGGAAATTGTCCACATTATCGAAAAAAAAGTACTGAGAAATACAAATTCCATTAGAGACCTACATTGAAAAAAAAATGATTTTTAAAATTTTAAGTCGATTTAGTTATGTTTACTACCAACCGTCAATACAACGCGAGATGGGCACTTTTAAGGAAACAAAATTTTCTAACAAAAACTTTTTCATGTCTAAACTGATTTTTTTTTAATCTGCCTTTTTCACACAAAACTAAACCAGTGAAGCTCAAAATCATCTCAGAATCCAATGAAGCTCGATTTGCGATTCAATTTTGTCTAATCAGCACTTAAGTTCACTTTGATAAATCGAGAATTTCATATGAAAAGGGCTCATGATGCATTTCTCGCCAAATCGTATTCGGAATTCTCAGCACCCCCTCAGAGTTCAATAAAACTTTCTGGACATGTAGGCCTTGTCAAAAAATATATCATTCAGAAGAAATATTTTTCATATATAATTTATTTGTATATTTTCAATGTTTTAAAGTTTGGCCTTTCTCAAATGTGAGTCTATATAAATTTTGGAGAAACTGAGTATGCAAAAGTGCTTATTTAGTCAAAGTCTACACATCCAGAAAATTTCATTGAAATCTGAGAGGGTGTTGCCAGCTTAGATTCGATTTGGCGCGAAATGCGTAACATCTGTACTGAATAAACATGTAGGTGCAGAACCGATTATGATGACATCCATCACGTAGTTTGGCATTGCCCAGGTAATGACATCTCCAGAGCACGACTATTGGATACCCTAGTGGCCCGAGGTAGACAACCCTTCCGTAAAGTAAAAGATGTATTGGGAACCCGTGATCTTCCCTACATGCAGCCCTAATAAAAATTGTATGGTTAATTTGCTTAACGACGTGTTCTGGGTATCATACAAACCATTTGTGGAATAGTTCAATGATTTGGGTTATCGTTCGTTTATGGTTATTTTTATTAGGGAGGCGATCTACAAATTCCTTTGTTTATGTGATGTTAGAGTTTGACCATCCCCTCCTTTCCAAACGATTTCAAGGCATTATGTCCCAGTCTTATTATCTTACTGTTTCTGTGCTGCTTGCCCGTGCCCAGGATTTGGTCAACCGTTCGAGAGTAGTATGTGAAGGAGGCTTCAGAAACCAGTTTTCTACCTAGCTCCTTTCAATCGAATTTATTACCCATTAACCTCGAGCCCGCCACGAGTAATTGGTACCCATTACTAACGTAGAACTACCAACAATCAATACGAAATTAAGGATTTTAAATTGGCTCACTACTTGACTACCCTATTGGTCCCAAGCAAATCGATTAACGTACCCCATTTTAATCAAAATTCTCAATGTTTGTTTTGATTCGCTATGAAAGTTTGACAGATAAAATGAGGGATTATTGGATTTTCCTATGTTTCGAGGGTTGAATCGATTAGCTTAGGACCGAAGATAGTACCAGAGCTGAGCCAAAAAGTTGAGCACGTTTCTTCGGGACCTACTAGTCTTAGAGTTACCTCTATGGAACTACTGCTGTTAAAAATATATTCAAACATTATTTATTTTCGGCTCCGCAAAGTGTCACAAACGACTAAGCCTAGTAAATAAACGAACTAGTTAAAACATGTGTGCGAGACGCTGAAAAAATGCTCATAGAAGCGCGGACGCTGGTTATATTGACGAGAATACGTAAATTCTCCTGTATCCAAAATCCAAAAATTCAATTTTTTTTTTTCATTCAATTCTAATGAAAATTTACGGGAAAAACATGTTTTCAATTACATTATGCCAAAAACTTGGACTTAAAAACCGAAAAAAATAACCGGTCTTGTGTAGAGCCCGTACGAATTGTGGCGCTTGCGAATATCACTTGAAGATACGATATGACGGAACATTGATACTAATTGTATAGAACACAAGAAAATGCTTTCAGAAA